TGAAGCATCCCCAGACATGCGGAACTGTATGTTCAATAAACCTCTTTTTTGTAAATTGCCCAGTCTTGGGTATGTCTTTATCAGCAGTGTGAAAACGGACTAATACAATTACCTATGTGTGCACTGCCAAACATGATAAATTAATTTTGGCTAGTTTTGAATTTCCTGTAAATGAGATCATATGATATCTTTAATGTCTCTGCCTTTGACCTTTATACTATGTTTTTTAAAGTTTTTTTTATGTTGCTGCAAACATATGTAGTTTCTTCATGTTCATCTTCTTGCTGTGAAGTATTTCATTGTATAAAATACACCATAATTATCTATTCTACTGCTAATGGGTATTTATTTTGCCTCCAATTTAACACTCTTATAATTAGTGCTATTATGAATTTTTTTTCATATATATATTATGGTGCTCGTCTGCAGAGGTGTCCTTCCTTGTTCCAAGACATCACATCAACACATGGCCATATTTCCCAACTTGGCTCTCATTGTCTTCTATTCCAAGTTTGTGAAAATCTTGTATCATGATTGGAGGTTGAAAAATTTTATCAAATTTTTTCTGTATCTGTTAATATATTGTTTTATCCTGTACTCTATTAATGTAATGAGTTGAGTGATTTTCTAATCGTAAGCCAAAATTGCATTCCTGGAATGAAACCAGTTTTGTCACATATGTTAGCCTTGATATGTTTTGCTGGATTTGATTGCTAATTTTTGTTTTTGGAATTTTTGCATATGTATTCATGGCAAAATTGACTTGCAATTTTTTTTTCTTGTAATGCCTTTGCAGCATTTGGGATTCAGATTTCTTTAGCCCCATAAGTAATCTGAAAAGTCACCCTTTTGCTATTTTACTAAAGACTGTAAAATTGGTGTTGTCTTCTCCTTAAATTTTGGTAGAACTCACCAGTGAAGACATTCTCTTTCTTTAGGAGTTATGCTACTACTTTGATTTTGTTTCTTTTTGGATCAATTATATATTTTCCCATTTACGTATATTTTTAATTTGTTTTGACATAAGCTTGATCATTATATCCTTTTATTATCTTTTTATTGACTCCAGGATCTATAGTGATAGCCTTTAAAAAATACTGTTTATTTGTGCCTTCTCTCTTTTTCTTCCTTTGATCAGTCTCACCAAAGGTTTATTAATTTAATTTTTTTAAGAACAGAATTTGATCTTTGTTGAGCCTTTTTATTACATTTCTTATTTCATTAATTTTAATCCTATTCTTATTATTTCATTCCTTCTACTTCCTTTGAGTTTAATTTGGTGAATTTTTCTAACTGCTAACTTGGGCATTTAATCTCTTTGCACTTATAATTACTAATAAGTTTGGATTAAAAAAATCCACCATCTTCCTATGTGTTTTTTGCTTATCCCAGCTGTTTTATGTCCCTGTTTCTCTCTTTTCTTGCTTTCTTTTAAATTGTTTGAGTGACTTGTCACTCAGGTTTCCTTCTCTTTTAGTCTGAAAGATATATATTTCTGTACATCTCTTATTTTAGTGATGACCTTGAAATTATAACATGCATTCTTGGTGTATCAATGTCTAATCTTAATCCACATTTTGCATGTAAGATAATTCAAAAAACTTGAAGCTATTTAACTACACTTAGTCGCCTCTCGACTTCTATGCTATTGTTGTGTGTAAGATTTTTTTTTTTTTCTTTGAGGCTGAGTTTTGCTCTTGTGCAGGTTGGAGTGGAATGGTATGATCTTGGATCACTGCAACCTCTGACTCCCGGGTTCAAGTGATTCTCCTGCCTCAGCCTCCCCAGTAGCTGGGATTACAGGCAACCTGCCACCATGCACAGAAAATTTTTGTTTTTTTTTTTTTAGTAGAGATAGGGTTTCACCATGTTGTCCAGGCTGGTCTTGAACTCCTGATGTCACGTGATCCACCCACCTCAGACTCCCAAAGTGCTGGGATTACAGGCATGAGCCACCATGCCCAGCCATGTAAAAATATTGATATTGAATCACCTCCTTGGAACTGCTTCAGTCTCTGAGCAGTCTGAAAACCGTGAGACTAGATGATACAAGACTCCAACGACTTTAACATTCTGTAAGCCTAGAATTGCACTTTAAAAATGTTAACTGGACCAGCCCTATTGTGGATAATGTATTCTTAAAATGGAGTTGCAGAGAAATGAGGCATGGGTTTTTCACGTTTCCAAAAGCCCAGAGATTGGCATCTAAACAGTTAGCACTGCTTCCCTTCAATTAAATGCAATTGGAAAGCTGGTCAATCTGCGTATAATATGAGGTATAGTCAAATGATGAAGAAGAAATTGGAGTTGCCAGCAGGTCTGTAGCTCACTGAAGATAATTCTAGAAGAGCAGAATCACTTTATTTTCTGCTAAAGATTTTTGTTTTCAATTTTTTCTCTCAGAATCCGGCTTGTGGCCTTTTCTGATTGACACTGTGAACGCATTTGGAAAAGGCAAGGTCATTTCTGTATATGTGTATACAGAATTTTCCAAACAAAGCTGGGAAGTTTAAGCTGCCTGTTGGGCTGCTTTCAAAGAGACTCTTTTTTTTCTCATGATTATTCACAAATGAAAGTCATTAAAAAGGTGTTACCATTTTCTGGGGGAAAAGGTGGGAGATGTTGCTTAGTGAAAGTAAACTTCAACTAAATTATGTTCACATGCACCCTGAAAGTAGAGAAGTTTTTACCATTCATGTTTAATTTAGTTCAGTAAAGTGGAGATGCTTATTTTCTAGAGTATGGCTGAATATAGTAAGCACACCTACTCCGGCTCTTCTAAATTTTCTCCTGTCCCTGAAGCTATGCAATAATGTAACCACAGACTTTTTGACATCTTGGTTTTTATTCCTTTTTGATGTCTCAAAAAGTGACATCTTAGGTGACATCTTAGGCACCACCCTGCTGGCTTCTCTGATTCCACTTGGGCATCAAAGGCTGCAAACAATAATGTCACAGCACTAAGCTTCTAATTTTCTCCAAGAGCTCAAACTGCATTTCTCATTGGGGAAGTGATATTTCTCTGCATTCATAGTGATAGATAGGGAAGTTATACCTCTGAAGGGCAAATGACTCAGCATTAAGTCACTGAGTCATTGGTCCCCTGGGGAAAGAATTCTAGAAGGTATCACTTTCAGAGCCTGTGTCTGGGAGGAACCACCAAGATCCTCTGCTCCAGGCTGATTTTGTCCCCATCTTGCAGATGAGACCATTGATGCCCAGAGGTGTGAAATGATTTGTTGAAGGTCACAAGACTGTTAATTACCAGTATTTTCATAATGCTTAAGTTATGTTTCCCCAAGCTCAGCAAATACATGGAAACGACAATTCTAGAATTCATATCACTATCAAGCAAGTTTAATTTAAATGGGAGATTATCCTGCAGCAACTTGTACCCTTATCTTATTGATCTCCAGTCTTCACGGGAAATGAGAGAGACAGCATCACAACAACTATGAAATCACATTCACAGTTTCTGCAGATCACAATGCCCCTCACTATACTCTCTCCTTCACTTCGGTAATCTACTGATGGATGAAGTAGGCATGCAGTGTAGTTTGCAGACCAGACTTGACAAAGATTGAAAGCATCTGTCAAGAGAGCCTGGTCCTCCTGTTTTGCCATCTAGGACAGCTGCCAGTTTTTTCTCTGTTAATTGGCTCCTGTGCAGGCAGCTATTTTAGCAACAGTTCCGTGGGTCTTCTGTGGCACATCTTGATTTAAAGTGAAATGTGGAAAAGCATTTCTCAACTGTTCAAAGCTTCCAGGGTTGCTCAAGTTTAGCTGATTGGACAGAGAGGGAGGCAGCCTTCAAAAGTATTGTGTAGAAATAAAACTAGATTATTCAGGGTCCTCAAATTCAGAGACTAATTCTCAGAGAGATGGTGAGTGAGGAGTCTGATTTCCTCTTAAAGAGATACTTTCCCTAAGGTCAGACTGAATTGAAAAGAGAGTTTACAAAAAAAAAAAAGAAAGAAAGAAAGCCCACATGACCTTAAGCACGCAGACTTTGAGTTGACACCATAGTGAGGAATGGAGTGCTATTAAAATATACTGAACAGTTTAATGACTCCACTAGCAGTATGCCAAAAAGAAAAAGAAAAAAAAATGATTTAAGCTCTGAATAATTCTGGGAAGGAGGATTTTGCCAAGGAGACTTTAATGTCAAGAATATATGTGAAGCTAAAATAAGGTGCTCACGTGCATCCCAGAGCCGTGGGTGGGATGTATATATGATCAAATGAAATTATTTCACTTCCACTTGTGGAAAAATCTGATGGGAGAAATTGACTAGAAAACATTAAGTCATATTTCACTTGGATTATGATCGTAAGTGCCAAACTCCAGACCTGTCAAAATAAGTCCCACCAGCGCTTCCCGGCCGAGGTGCTAGACAAAGGCTGTGACAGGCAAAAACGCTAAAGAGCTTAGCAAAACATCGAGCCTGGAAAAGCCACAGGAACCCAGCTCCCAAAGAAAGAGCGGGCTCAGGTAGCTAAGAAGGAGAAGGCTTGTTCTTGAGGTGTGAGGATTGGAGCCCAGAGTGGCCCAAGTGTTTAATACAGAGCAAGAGGTCTCAGAAAGCCTCAAGGACATGTGTGTTCCAGGGACCAGCTCTCAGATGCTGGAAGTCAGGGGTCCATGGCTTTTTAACCAACTTGTTTTCTATCAGAGCCAGTATCCCTTTGTTTGACCTTGTTCTGGAGGGCCAGCAGTGTGCCCTTTCCGCAAATCATTTGTTGATGGAATAGGAAATGCACTTGCCTGTTGCCAGCACACTCATCTGCAAATCAAGGCTATCTGCAGAAGAGGTACAAAGTGCCAATGCCTGAAAATGAATTTGTTGGCATTTCAAGGACAAACACTTTCTTGGCTACAAGCACTGAACCTCCAATCCAAAACTGGGGAAAAAGTCTAGGCTTAAGTATTTTATTTTCTTCTTCTACTGTAGTGAGAAGATTCATGCATAACCCTGCTACTTTTGTCCCTTCTGCTTGCCTGTCTACTCACTGCCTCCAAGCCAGGGACCTGGGTCACCGATGCCTGTGTTCACTGGGTTCAGGGGCTGGCAAGTGGGAAGGAGGACTGGGAATGGTGGGGAGGGAAGGCATTTCCTTTTGGCTGGCATGAATAACCGGGGAGTTCGTGTTGGCCAACATTTAATGCAGTGCATGGACTCAATAGAACATTTGTCTTGTGCATCTCCCAGGTGATGTCGAGGGTGGGTGAAGTCAGCTCAGGTTCCATGCACGTGCCCAAGTGGGTGGCAGGGACCTGGGAGAGCCGATGGTGCTCAGCCTAGCACTGGTACTGCCCCAGGGTCTAGATGAATTCTGGCTTGGACAGAATCTGCATCTCATGCCTCTCAGTTCTCTCCCGGAACGTCATTCTGGAATCCTGCGATCTTTGCTCCCTGGAGAAAGTAAAAATGAAGCAGGGAGGAAAATAATTTGACCTAATGAAGAGGGAAATAGACATGTTAAGAGACAATAGCTTATTAAAAATGTATTAAAGATCAGACAAAAACTGTGCCAGGTACTTTACATGTAATACCCTGACCTTCCTTCTCAATGACTCACAGCTCTCCTTCCCACTGGTCAGCACTAGATCCCAGAGGGCAGAGACGTCACAGGCCAACAGGTAGACAATGCTGTTAGCCCCGTTTTACAGATGAAGAAAATGAGGTTTATATGCGTTAACTAACTTGCCCAAGGTCACACTTCACTATGACTAAGCAATGGCAAGATATAAATCTCAACCATTGGCATTAAGCCCAAGACTTAAATCATTCTCCTCTGTATCTCATATGGAATTCTCCACCTACCCTCTGTGGCTTATGCAGGAAAACAGCTGAAAAACAGCAGAAAAACAGCAGAATGACAATAGCTGTAGGAGGGATTTAATTTCAGCTCTGCTCCTAATTATTCATATAACCTTAATGATGTCATTAAACTCTTAAGACTCACTTTGTTTATCTGTAAAATGGTAATAAGGCTTCATGTTCTGTTATTGCCATAGAATTGTATTGAGGCAATTCATGTGAAGATGCTTTGAACAAAAGCAAGGTCTTCTAGATGTGTCATGATAAAGGTGGTTGCTATAGGAGGTGTTGTGGTGTACGAAAAAGCACATTGGCTGTGGCCTGGGCCAGGGTTTAAATCAGTCACATTAGTGGAATCTTTCTGACTCTCAAGCCTCTCATCTATAAAAGGAGGATTCTGGCAAGGTGTGGTGGCTCACGCTTGTAATCCCAGCCCTTCAGGAAGCCGAGGTGGGTGGACCACGAGGTCAAGAGATCAAGACCATCCTGGCCAACATTGTGAAACCATGTCTGTATTAAAAAGACAAAAATTAGTGGGGCATGGTGGCATGCACCTATAGTCAGTCCCAGCTACTGAGGAGGCTGAGGCAGGAGAATCACTTGAACCTGGGAGGCAGAGGTTGCAGTGAGCTGAGATCATGCCACTGCACTCCAGCCTGGCAACAGAGTGAGACTCTGTGTCAAAAGAAAAAAAAAAAGGCTGGGGGTGGGAGGGCATTCTGTAACCTACTGGAGAGTTTGGACATGAGAAACCCACGTGTTGGTGGAATCCCAGTGCAGTGGCCATCAGTGTGTCGGACTCATGCAAGAGCTCCCCTTACCAGCAGGGGAAAGAGATGGAGCTGCTGAAGACACAGTAAATGAGGGGGTTGATGGCGCTATTCAATGCTGGCAGGTTCTGAATGATCACAGAGGCATAGAAACGCTCCTGGGTGTCTGGAAGGAGGTCGAAATTGTCCAAAATGTCAAAGAGAAAGTATGGACTCCAACAGCAGATGAAGGCTGGGGGAGAAGAGAGCCATTAGCACCACAGCAGGCAGCAGGTCTTTTTGGTTGATCCTGACTGGACTTTTACCTGGGATGTTCTTTGGGATCTGGGATTAGAAAAATTGGGGTTAGATGCTGTTTAGAGCATTGATGTCATATTCACTTAAACATATACACACATACAATATGGACACATCTTACAGACATGTTCCTAAGACTGAGCAAAGGTCATAGAGCTTCCCTATTGATAAAGAATTCTACTGTTGTGGATTCTTTACAGAAACCTCAGGAACGACCATAGCCTCTCATCCAACACAGGGATCAGGAAAAAACAGCAAAATACGTTGAAGACTCTCGAGGAAAAGACAGAAGGACAGGAAGCATTTTGACCACATAGTGACTACTGGTTTTAGGTTATGGCAAGGAGAAGGGGTGATCACAATATTTTCAAAGCACAGCCAGGTTTAATCACACTGTTTTCAGTTTTTTCACCTCTAAGTTGGCCTCTCCAGAAAACATCCACACAATACCCTTCTCTAAATCCACTGGTTTGTGTGAGACCCTAATTTTGTTTGGATCTAAATTCTCAAATGGATGAAAGATAGGGATTCAGAATGTCATAGTTAATTTTGAGACTTTTGACTGGGGTGTGGAGTGATTCGGTTAAACACTATTCTGGGTGCATATGAAGATGTTTCTGGATGAGAGTAACATTTGAACTGGTAGAGTAAGAAAAGCAGATCACCCTCCCCTGCGTACAGGCCCCATCCAATCTCTTGAAGGTTTGGGTCGTGGAAAAAGCTTAAGTGAGAGAAAATTCACTCTGCTTGCCTATCTTTGAGCTAGGATATTGGTCTTCTCCTTCCTTCATACTTGGAGTCAAACTGAAACGTACACCATCCACTCTCCTCAGACTCGGACTAGAACCTACACCATTGGGTTTCCTGGGTCTCCAGCTTTCAACTGCATAGCTTGGGAATTCTCTGCCTCTGTAATCACCTGAGCCAATTCCTTCTAATAAACCTCTCTCTTTCATTTTCCTCTGGAGGGCACAGACTACTACACAGAGCCAAACACTCGTAAGTTGACTGGAAATACACACGTCTCATTTTCTCACCACGTGTCCTCCACTCTCCTTCTCCCATTTTCTCATCCATAGAATTTTTTTTATGAGAGTAGAAGTTTGGCTTCCCTGGCTTTCTGCATGCAGGGACAAGCTTTCCTCCACAACTCTGTAATGCGGATTCCATAACTTGTTGGGGAATTTTGGAATAATGAACTGACTCATGGTTCCCCTCTTGATCCCAGACCTTGGCAATGTATTGAAGAGGAGCAATTCAAACACAAAGCCCACTGAGTGTTGTGGATCCTGGTTAATTAACTCAAACATTGGCCCTGAAAAGTGTCTGGGGCACTAAGGGGGCAAATGGCCTTGTGTGCTTGTGTGTTTGCATGTGTGTGTATGTGGGGTTGGAGGATTCTAGTTGTCACAGGGATGCCAGTCCTGTGACATGGTACAGGCAGCTCAGCCAGCAAAGATTTGTGTCTATGTTGAATGCCAAACTAAACATTCACGTGAGGAGAACCCTCTGTATACTTATCCCAGTCTAGAAACCTGATTTTGTTTTACACATAAACACAGATATTTTAAATACTGAATTTTCTAGAAATGCAATTCTGCTGCAAATGGAGGAAAGATTACTTTGTTTAATTCAAAAATTTACAAGGATTTTTTTTTTTTTTTTGCAGCTCAGAAAATCAAGTCACTGACAACAATACTGCTTACAATTTTTTTATATCTCCATGAAAATACTCCTGTATTGGTTCTCATTCGTAGCTGTTACTATGTCAAGGTGTAGGTATCACTACTTCACTACTCTTCTAGTGTAGCTTGCTTACGTTTTTACATATTAAAATTAGAATAAATTTTAATTAACAAAATAGTATTGTTTTATTATAGATTATATTCTTATTCCTCCTTTATATTACCTTTATATTATTTTGGGGGCAACGTTTTTTTTTTTTGTTTTTTTTTTTTTTTTTTTTTTTTTTTGAGACAGAGTCTCACTCTGTCACCCAGGCTGGAGCTCAGTGGTGCAATCTCATCTCACTGCAATCTCTGCTTTCCCGATTCAAGCGATTCTCCTGCCTCAGCCTCCCGAGTAGCTGAGACTACAGGCACACGCCATCATGCCCGGCTAATTTTTGTATTTTCATTAGAGACAGAGTTTCACCATATTGGTCAGGCTGCTCTCAAACTCCTGACCTTGTGATCCTCCTGCCTCAGCCTCCCAAAGTGCTGGGATTACAGGTGTGAGCCACCATGCCTGGCCTAATTTTTTTAGTTACCATGGTAGGTAGTGTAAGTATACATTTTATTTCAAGATGGGAAAGGGACATTACAAAGTGTTTGCTATAGAAAGGGCCCTTTTGGTCTGACAGGGATGACAACACTTGCTGACCCTCTAGCAGGTGTCCCTGCTTGCTGACTGAAGGAATCCCACAGGGCCTGCGAGTATGGTTGCTGATGACAAAGGGCTATGCTGGCTCTGGGACACATTTGTAAGCATACATTTTCCAACTCAACACCCAGGGAACGTGCCTCTGTGGTTCTGAATATCTGGGAAGGCAGAGGAGTCTTTGATCTACTTCAGAAGCCTCTGAGAAAGTTTTTGAGCCCTGGTGGGTTGTATATGTTTTATCCCAGTTCCGCCTGCAGTGTTGTTTTGTGCCCACGTCCGGCTGGCTGAGTCATGCTGCGTGTGGTCTGTTTGGCATTTTGCAGTTGTGTTTTAGAAAGGTGAGAAGACTGTTCTGGTGCTTTGACATGCAGCTAATGGGAGATCTATGCTTCCTCGGGGCTTCCAAGAGTTGACAGAGGGTCAAGTAGTGGGTATTTAAGCTAAATAAAAAAGAAAATAGCACAAATGCTTTCCTTCTTGCATATTTGTATGCCCTCATTCATTCATTTAACAAATGTTAGTTGAGCAGTGCGTAGGGGACCCTATTTTAGGTCTTGGTGATAATGTAAATCACACAAAAGTCATTGCCCTCATAAATTTATTACTCCAGCATGGGAGATAGACAATAAGAAAATCAATCCATATCCTATAGTGCCGGGTACAACCAAGAAGAAAAATAAGGCAGCGTAAAGACTAGAGAAAGGATATTTCAAAAGACTTGTCAAGGAGTCCTCAGGGAGGTGGCATTGTTGGGGAACAAATGAGGTTTGGAAGTAAACCAGGTCACCACCAGAGAGCAGAGTATTTCAGACAGGCAATAGTGCAAGGTGACTTTATGGGGCTTAAGAGTAGAGAGAGAGGAAAAGGAGAGGGCAGAAGACAGGAGGGTGGAAGGGCAGGTAAGGTGCCATAAGGGAGGAATTTGTAGTGACCCTAACATTAAATGTTCAGAAGAGACGGAAAGCCACTTCTGCCTTCTTTTTGCTTATGAACTCCAGCCCTGGGAAAGAGTGTGTCTTAAAGGAAGTGACTGAGTTAGTAGGTGATGTGAGCATCCCCTTCAGCTAGTTAGGTCCTAATCAGATTTTCTCCAAATTATTCAACCCATGGCCTTGGCAGGGAGCTGTATTCATAAGGAGAGGGATTAGGAACCAAATATCAGCCTTTGAAAGAACGATGGATGGCCTGATGAGTTTCACACATTCCTTTCCAATCAGACCAGTGTAGAAGTGTCCATCGACAAATTCCTTTCTGCCACCAGGTCCAGGAGCAAGCTTGCTTTTGGGATGTTCATACCACTTTACAGCTCAAAAAGGGACATCGCTTACCAAGAATGATGACGATGCTATACTTGATAGCCTTGAGTTTTGCCTTTGAGATGAGTCCTCGGTTGTAGTGGCTGCACAGTTTCCCATCTGTAGATACAAGAGGGGAATAGTAAGATGAAGTGTTCAAGATGTGACAGGGTCTGTTTCTGCCAATGGGAACATTAAAGGTTAGACTCCAGTTCTCCAGTTTTCACTTATATCCTGTGCACTTATGCCCAGATGGTCTCCTTGGAAATTCTTAGATTAAAGATAGTTCTGGGCTGATTTCTAGAGAATGCTCAGTTTACACCTTAATATTATGTGCAAATGCTATGGAATACTCAGACTCTGTCAAGAAACTTGGTCAGATGGCCTGAGCTAGCTGTAGCTAGAATTAGAGCATGATGCAGGAATTGAGCCCTTCCCTGAGGAACACTGTTCTCTGAGCCCTGGCTATGCTGAGACACCCAACATGGGCAAAATTATTTTCTAAAATGGTCGCCCCAGACAAACACAGTCATCAAAAAAACACTCTCAAGCAAAGCTCAATCCAGGGGTAGCAGAACTCTCCAAAATAAGAGCTTGGATATACATTTTTTTTTCATATGTGGTCTGCTGTCTGATGCCAAACACTGGGGGATGAATATAAGAATCCACTAGAATACAAGCTTGATGAGGACAAGGACTTTGTTTTCTGCACTCCTGTAGCCTATACACATATGAATGACTAATATAAATGTGTTGAATGAATCAATAACCAATAACCACCTCTCATTAGTTAAGTAGCAGTACAAGGGGATAGGATTAGGCTAGGCAGGATCCAGTGCCATAGGCCTTAGTTAAAGGAGTGGTTACCTGTAAATTTGGGGATAAAAATGTCAGATGCAGTGTCCTTTTCCTCATGGAAGAGTTTTTACTGTCAGGGCTTCCACCAGCCCGTGTGCCACCTTTGTGAAAATTCAGAAAAAGGACCCTTCTTCTGATAAGCACAGGCCTGCCTGGGGCACATATTCAGTGAGGGAAATATGAAGAGGATGCCAGACCTGCACAACCTCTCAGCCAGGAGCCACCCAGTGAGGCTCAATGGGCACAACCCCTGTGGTGGCCTTGGGTCAGAGGCCCACCCAGTGCACCCACATCACACGGGGCAGGGTAGCTGTGCACTGGAAAGGCAGTCTGCTCTGCTCCACTGTCCTCACTGCACTACGCAGCTCTCACATTTGAAATTTATTTTAATGCCCATGGAAACCCGTCAGATGTCTACATATTTGCAATATTCATTCAATCCCATCTCCAATCTGATCTCGTCCAACCCCACAAGCATAGCATATCTGCTAAGAGATAAGAACTGACTGGAAGGGCTGAAATAGAGTTCTTGTTCTCTAAGAATTTTCAATCCAGCGTGCAAGAGCACACACTCTCCATAAAACTGGTTGAGATGAGAGAGATGCTGCTGTGGATTGAATGTCTCTGCCAAAACTCATATTTAAATTTAATTGTCATTGTAACAGTATTGGGAGGTGGAGCCCTTGAGAGGTGATTAGGCCACCAGGGCTTGGCCCTCACAAATGGATTATTGCTATTATTGTGGAAGTGGGCTTCTTATGAAATCTTTGAGTTTGACCTGACTTTCTAAGTCTTGTGTGCTCGCTTTCGCCCTCTGTCTTCTGCCATGAGATGACCCTTGCCATTTGCAGGCACCCTGCTCTTGGATTTCCCAGCCTCTAGAACCATAAGGCAAATAAATCTCTTAAAAAAAATAAATTTCCCAGCCTGTGGTATTCTGTTATAGCATCAGAAAATGGACTAAGACAGATTGAAACCAACTGTGGACAGAGGAGAGACCCATCCCTCCACCACTGTGCTGGTGAGGCTGTGTGGGAGAGGCAGAGAGCATCAAGTGAACTCAAATGACATAAGAAGGATTCCAAAACAAAGGCAGGGTGCAGCGTGGGATTGGGAGAGGTGGGAAGCAGAGAGTGAACATCCTCAGCCAAGACATGGAACAAGAAAATGTAGGATGCGTTTTCACCACAGTGAGTCATATTGCTTGGCTGTAGCCTGCAAATGTGTGGAGTTTGAGAGTGGAGAAGAGAACTGAAGACAAACTGGGGAGGCCTTGAATGTCTTTGTGAGGAGTTTGGGCTGAACTCCTGAGGTGGCAGCAGGCCATTGAAGCTTCTGAGCATTTGTGCAATGTGAACATTTACTCACTGCAGAGGACAAATGATTGTCAAGAGTAACAGGAATAGGGGCTCTTTAGGTACAAATAACTAAAACGCTTATTATAATTAATGCATATTTCTTAAAGCATACCCTCCTAAATACTATTAGGGTCTTCAAATCATTCTGTGCATTTCCTGGGACCATGAAACCTCAGCCTGGTAAGAAAGCAAATGCTTCAGAACATTCAGAGCAGTGATTCTCCACTAGGGTGATCTTGCTTTACAGGGAACTTTCGGCAATGGACACATTTTTGGTTCTCACAATTGTGTGTGCATGTGTGCTCCTGGCGTCTAGTGGGCAGAAGCCAGGAATGTTGCTAAACACCCTTCAATGCACAGGGCAGCCCCCACAACAAAGAATTATCCGGTCCAAAATGCCAAAAGTGTCAAGGGCGAGAAACCTTGATTTCTAGGATGGGATCTTGGGAAGGACACAGGCTGCAAGATCAGACTGGAAGGCATCTTCCTTCTCTACCAATTACTAACTGTGTAACCTTAGGCAAATTGTCTAAAGTTCCAGCTTCAGTTTCTCCATTTAAAAATCGAGGCGTAGAAGACCTCATTCGCAGAGTTTCTTTGAAGATTAACATAAAATAATACGTTCAAGGAGCCAAGCCCCATGCTGGGGATGTCGGATGTGCTATCAGTTGAGATTAATGCAGTTTTAACAGTATTTCAGGTGGAAGGTGAGCCAACTTTATGGAAGTGAACAGAAGGTATTACTACGTTTGATTGTCTATTATACAAGGTTGTTATCTGTGTAAGAATTATGTAAAGCAGAAAATGATCAGGGTGAGATTATTCCCATGGGGGGCAAGTAAAGAAGACAGCAGACCAAATTATATTCTTTCAAAATGTCCCCACTGGCTGTTCCTAGGCAACAGCTGGCCCCTAAACAGTATGGCTCTGCAGACTAAGTTGGTCTTTCAGAAAAGTTTTCGAGAATGACATTTGTGCTCTGAAATCTCTTTAAAATGGAAACTTGCAGTGTTTCCACAGGGCAAGGGGGTGACAATATAATCAACTACCTGCCCAGAGATCAGTGAAAAGCATCTTTAATCTGACCATTTCAGGAAATGCAAAGCCTCTAGCTTCTAAAGATGGCTCTTCAGAGAGAGCTGAGCTGCAAAATGCCGGTAATTCTCCTTTATTGGGAGATAAAAGGATTATTTCTACTCAGGCCTTGGCGCTGAGCTGCAGTGAAAAGCAGTTCAATTCTGCTGTCACTGTGCATTAATAATGGGGGTAGCCTGAAATTGGCAGGTCCATTTGATTTGGGACTGGAAGAAGCACACTGATGTGGACTGTTTCAGTACCAGGATACATCCCTAATGGGGGCCCATGCTGAAAATTTAGTCTCCAAATGGCCATTTCTGGCTCCTCACCTTCCCAAGGCCACAGGCCTCTTACAGAGTTGCTGGGAACCCATTCTTCATATAGGCTGAGCACCTGAAGTGGGAGGAATTGGTACCTTGGGATTTCAAATGGAAGTAGAATTGGTTTCTGGGAAGTGGTGGGGGGAATTCATCTGTGGACCTATAATGAGTGCAGGTGATTTCTTTACAAACGAGGAAGTCTGACTGGCAATATTTTAAAATAAATGTGCTTCCTATGTTAGAAATTTTGTGTATGTTAGGTTGATTTTTAAAAACTTCCACATATTTTTACCAATTTTTTCTGATTTCTAAAAGTTTTAAAATTTGAAATTCATTTTGAACATCAACATTCTCTTTACAAATAGAGCGTGAATACTGCCTGAAATCATCAGTTCAGTATTTTCAGTGTATTAGGGGTCTCATCTGCTTAGCTGCAGGACTGTCGTCGGTTTCTTCCCAGGGTATTTTAGTTCCTCTAGTTTTTCTGGTAGACACAAGGAGGCGACTCAGAGTGTTCCAGAATCCACCCGGGTGACCGTCTGTGCCTCTGTGGTGACAGTGTCTGGATCCTGCTTTCTAGGTTCACTGCAGCTGCCCTGGGCTGCCCCAGGCCCCTTCACCCAGACCTCCTCTTTGCCAGTGACTGCCTCTTGAGGGGCCCCGGCTGGGCACCAGATGCTCCACAGCCACATTCATTTCTAAGCCACGTTGTGAGTCTTCGTTGTTATTGCTCTTGACCTTGGGCAGTTGCTTTGCTCTTCTGCTCCACCTTTCAGGGCCTCAGTTCTGTCCCAGGGCTGTGGACTATTCAGCACCACTGCTCTTCCCTGGGATACCTGCTGTCCAAGTTCTTCGGCCAGGAAACAAGGAAATGGCCTCGCTCCTCTGTGCTGTGCTATTCCAGGGGGCTACACCAGACTTGCTTGAACTCCCAGGGATTCCAGCTTCTTTAGCCCTCCCACACACAATGTTTTCCTCCCTAGATGCTGACGAGTGGCCAGAGTGGTTAGACGGGAATGCTCTTCTGTGGTCCAGAACTTACGTTTCCTTTTGACGTTGAGGCACTCATTGTGCCTGACTTCAGATTCTCCAGGATGTTTTCATGTTCAGGAATCTTACTGCCTTTTTCTTGTCATCTGAGGTGCTCCCTCTCTGCCCATTCAGTGGGCATGCCTGCATATCTCTGAACCTTCAAGTAGGAAAGCATTTTGAGTTTCTTTCCAGGAGGTTTTTAGTCCAGATCCAACTGTAAATCATAGCTAGGTATAAGATAGCTAGGTTTCATCTAATTCACCAGATAGCCCTTTCTGTACCTCAGCACCTTGGCTCAGGCAGAAGCAGGAGCCCGGACAGCCTAAAATAGCTATGCAAAGACAGATGAGCTGTTCACCAAACCCATTCCTGTGTCCCCAAGGCACACAACTAGACTTCAATTCCCAGCCTGCCTTCCACCAGTGTGTAGTCATGTGACAAGGATCTGCCTAAGGGATGCTGGGAAGAGTCCATG